ATTATTATTATTTTTGAATATAAAAAGCATAGTTCCCTCTCTCAAATTTAGTTATTTCTATAATACACTAAAAAAATATTCCAGCCATGGGCTGAGGATTTTTTCACTTGCCAGAATCAGGCTTCAACATTTGGTTCTTAAAAAATTTATTTTGTTTATTTTTTTTCATGAATGAAGGTCTAAAACCAAACCTGACTATCTCACCTGACACTCAATACGGTAAATATCAGTGAGCTCTATATCAAACCCAAAAGTTTTACAAAATGTCTGGGTGGAAACATGCCTACTGGAGATGAAGGGATACTCCTGGGCAATTTTGATCCTGTTATTGATAAAATGCAATAAATTCATATTACTGAACTGAAACCCTCTCAACTGTCACAGAAGCCGTGAGTAAAAAGGTTGCTAAGGAATGATATTAATGTGTTTGTGAGTGTGTATCAAGGTGAATAATAATAACCACTTTAGTCAGCTGCTCTTTTCAGTTCTTTTCTTTATGTCAGCTGTTTTGTAGATTTTAATTTTTTATTTTTTTTTCCTTTAGGGGCTATTTAAGTATGAGACACTGTTAGCCAAATAGAAGGAAAACAAATGCGAAAACAAATATAACTTGAAAACTGCATTTATTCCCAATGGGTTGTGGTGCCTGGGATTTACCTAGCTTTTCTCTGTGCCTTCAATTATTTTTCTTATTTTGTAGAATTTAGACAGTGACATTGTCTCCAAGAAAAAATGATAACAAAGATGATCCTCTGACTGAGCTGTTCATAGAAAATATCTTAAGCCTTGTTTCCTGCAAAAAGGAAATAAAGGTCTGAGAGCAACAAAGATTGGATGATCTGGATCAAGGCATTGAATCCTTACTCTTTCCATTCTCATCTGTTCCTTTCCCTCCTTCCCCTCCCACACACTCAACTACTGTAATCCACTAAGAAATAAATACATAAATAAATAAAAACATAAATAAATAAATAAATAAATAAATGAAGTGTGTGACTGTCTTGGTTTTGAGTCACACTCAGCCCTGAACCCAGCTTAATCTTTATGGAGAACTTCATCAGAACTGTGTATTTACATTCTCTGCAGGCTTTTCCCCCTCTGCATCCCCAAGACCTACTTATATATATCTTTTTCTTTTGAACAAAACAGCTAAAAGTGAACAGTTTGCCAGCAATGTGAATTCCAGTTTGGTCTCTGTGTTTCATCAGAAGTCGCAGCCCAGATCTGGAAATGCTGACTGGACACAAAACACAACCCACAGGCAAAACAGAGACTGGTCAATATGTGATTGCTGACTAGAAAGTTAACCCTTGCCTGAGGGAAACATCCAGTGAATGCTCTACAAGGGGAACATTTCAATTTCGCTTCTGTTTTGGACTAAGCGTTTTGACATGGTTATGACTTAGCACCAATTCAAAATCCATTAACCTAAGGATTGAATTTTAGCAGCACCTAATAATTAAACAATTTAAAAAATAACAAGTGATCTAGTAGGATATGTTATTATTAAAATAGCAACATAATTACAGATTTGAGAATGACAAGATTCACACTAACTTATTACAGGGTATCTTAAATTAAACTATATCTGTGTTTGCGAAATATAGGAACACAGCAGACAAAAAGAATAGATATAGTGAAATATATAGATACTGATGCAGACACAAAGACAGGTAGGGAGGTAGGTGGAATGAGATAGCCTATAGTTAAGATGTCCCTCATCGAGTATGGAATAAATACTAGTAATGCCTTGTCATTCCTCAGTGGAGAATAACTGAGACTCAAGAAGGATGAACTCACCCTGACCTTCCGTTGCCTTTGTCAGCAGATGGTCTTCAAGGAGTTGTGCCTGAGAGGTGCTTCAAATCAGGGGAAATTCTGGCCACAGCCCACTGCAGTCCAGGAGAGTTCATAGAGTCTCTCTTAGAACTGATGTTCATAGGTTCTCAGATAATATACTTTTGTCAGATAATTTTGCATTTCTTCACAATTTGGATGGTGAAATAGTTAAATACTTTCTGCCACTTGTGTAGGTCCAGTGCTTACTAAATTTTTGAGTCCTGTTATCACCCCCTTTTAGACCAAAACCCAAGAGTAGAGCCATTAGGTGGTCAGGCCGTGAACGATTGTCCTTACTTTTCCAGTTAATCAAAGGGGGAGCAGGAGTCAGGTGCATCAGAGTAGTGCCTCAACACTTCAGTCCACTGCTTATGATCTAGATATCATAGTCATCCCCAGAGAACAAAGGGAGCAGGAGCCAGGTAGTCAAGGAAGTGTGTCAACACTCTGTTGTACTGCCTTTGCCAATCCATACCTGCCTTGCCTCTGACTGTTGGTGTGTGGCCAAAGGAGGTGGTCACACCAAATACTGAGTGACCAAAGAGATGGGGAAGTTTCCCCACCACGACCTCATACCCAAATAGATTTTGTTCTTTCATGTACAGAAGCTAATCAGTCTGAGAGAGAGACATTAGTCAATGAAACATCTTTCTGAAGGAATCTTAGTTGTTCAAATAGTTTAAAAATTGCCTGGACAACGAACTGCATGAATATAGAAGATTAATTTTACTTTGTCGAAGGAGAAGAGCAAGCATGTGGGATAGATGAAATAATACATCTTTTCATTTGTTAATTGCTATAATTCCAAGAAAGAAAATGGGATGAGAGCACTGCAGCAGGAGAGCAAGGAGACTCCCAGACCAGAGGGGTTAACATTTGTCATTCTTAATCACACAGTTAGGATCTCCTGACAAGAGGGCTGCACAGAGTATGAACACAGACAGCTCACACAGCTCCATTTTCCCCATTGGCACTGTATCTTTATGACTTATTGTGTTAATTAGCTCATCTGCTCCATTCCACAGCAGAACTACTCAGTGATTGTCACCAGAGGACAAGAGAGGGGACTTTGTGTCCACCTCCAAAGACTCTGTTGTTCTGCAGAAGAGTGCCTTTCAAGGAGGCAGCTTTCTAACCATCCCCATGGGAGTAGAATCTTCACAGCTGGCAAATAGGAAGGTCCTCAACTTCCCATTGTTTTTCTGGGACTGTTCTTGGAGCTTTCTGGGCTTCACCAAAGTCTGGTTAGTTGCAGTCCAGTCTAGCAACCTGCCCATGCAACCACTTCAGCTCCATTTCCCCAAAGATATTGTCACCAGCTTTGAACTCATGTGGTATAAGCCTGGAGGGCAGGACTTTTTTCTTTGCTTAGTTTTAAAATGAAGCTACATTTTTGAAAATAATTAATTCATTAATTAATTTATTTTTTAATATATATATTTTGCCTCCATTTTCCAGAAATAGTATCTCAGGCTTAACCAAACCGAGGCCTATCCTAAGGAGAGAGGATGTGTCAGTCTAGTACAGGAATAATTGTGGCTCAGGGGAAGGAGTGTTCCAGCCAGAGGATTGAAGGTTGTTGTACAAATTAATGTGGTAATTACAGTATCATCTGGAGAAAGCAACTGTGACTGTGTCCCTGTTATGTTAAGTACTGTATGCATTTTAATACAAGAGAAGACCTGGCATGGTTATAATCTCATCAGACAATTCAGAAAAAGGGTCCATTATTACTGTGTCATGGATAAGGAACCAATGCCCAGAGACATTTTAAAGGTGCAATAGTAATCATCATCCCTAGTGCTGTTTGGACACACCACATGCAAGAGTAAATCGAAATTCTTGACAGATGAAAGGGACATCCACAAATCCTATCAATCAAAGCCAGATAATTTTTATAAATGCAATTTTTTTAAAATTCCCTACCTTTATTTGAAATCTTATAATAATCACTGAAAAGGAAATTTAAAAAGAAAAGCTCTATCTTATTCATTTATCATTTGAGAAGGATTCTTTCTAAAGGCAAACAGAAATAATAATGGAAAAATAATCAGGGCTAAGAAAAGACAAAAATATTTGGGGTTTTTTTCATTAATGAGCTATGTATTGGTTTGGTTAAAATACGTCCTTCCACAACACCTGAGAGAAGGTCGTTAAAGAAGCTTTGGCAAAGTACTCATTTTGATAAAAGAAGTAATGTTAATAAGATATCGAATGAGCAGCCATAAAAACTATGAGCAGAGAGACAAAAAGCCCAAGTATGTAAGGAAGGGGAGGATCAAAAGCAACTTTCACGCATGCTAAAACAAGCCTATTACAAGCAAAAAGGACATTAGGCAGAGATTATTAAAAAATAATCCATTGTTCAGTAATGGCAAATATATCACACCTCACATGGCAGAAGCAATAAATCCCATTGATTCCTCCAACACAATTTACAATTAAAAACTGATTCACAAATAAATAAAAAAATAAACAAATAAAGGCAGAATTAACTGTGGTACCTTATACCACCAAATCAAAGAAATTGGAGTAGAATTGAGAATAATTACCAGATGTGTTTCTTCGTGCTCAAAACAACATCCTTTATTTACAACTACCAGTGATGTTCCTTATTCATTCCTCCTGCTGGTCTAATGACTATTGCCATTCAGTGTTCTTTTATTTAATCATCAACATCTGAAAAAAGAAGTATCTTTTCTTTTTTTTTTTTTTTGTTTGTTTTGGGGTTTTTTGTTTGTTTTGTTTTGTTATTTTGTTTGGGGTTTTTTGTTTGTGTTTCGTTTTGTTTTGGTTTTGTTGTTTTGTTTTGTTTTTCTTTTGGCAGCAGCAGCAGGGAGGGAGAAGTTTCCTAAACTCTAACAATTGCAAATCGCTCTGGAGGAATGTATCATTTTTTCAGCCTGGCCTGCAATGTAATTATGAGCATTGCTTTCAATTTATTGGCCTTTTACAGATGTGCAGTCCAAATGGATGCTACTTTAACACCTGGAGTAATGATTTATTTTTTTCTCCTTCCCTATTTCACATCTTTTCTATGGAGGATATTCCTGGGTGGAAATTGACTGGCAGTCATAAGCATTAAGAGAGTTTGAAGCTCCCCAGGGGAACGCAGCACAGCCATAAAGTTGCAATACATGTAGCCATGCAAGCACAGAAAGAAAAGTGTTTGCGGGTGAAAAGACTCTGGGGACAAGGATTCTTTTATTCTTTATTCTTCTGTTTGTTTCAATCCCATTTGCAGGTAGGGTGCTCTCCAGGCTCAATCTTTGTAAGGACAAAGGGAAAATATTCCTTGAGGAATAGAGAAATGAAAAGGTAGATTTTAGCAGACTATTATATTATCCAGCTGTTTATATACTAGGTCCTGAAAGGGCCTTTTCATGGGTGTTCCCACATGATTTGTAGGACATGCATATTTAGACCTTTCTACTGATGTAGAAGGAATTCTGAAGGAATAGATGAAGATGAATAGAATTGTCCCAAGTGAAGGCTGTGTTATAAAAAATTCCTAACTGTTATAATTTCTAGAGGTAAAACTTTTGGAATACCCCTTTTCCCTGCACAGCTTACTGAATAAATATTATTTCTTCTTCTATACCTTTTCCTCTCTTACTGGCTTTTCAAAATGGATCCTAGTGATTGTGTAGGGGTTGGCATAATTGCTGGCCCTCATAAACCTTTAGATCAAATTCACATCTTAAATGATGATAAGATTTTATCGTTAGTCATCTCTGGGGAGCTCCCAAGGAGAATCAAGTCCAGGCAGGTCTGACTTGACAGAGGGAATGAATGAGTGTGTGGCACAAGAGCACAGGAAGAAAACCTTTTGTCCTTCATTTCAGGAAGAAGCTGGTAGGTTCTCCCCTCTCCACAAACCACTGGGGTCAGTCACTGCACCTCACTGTAAGGAGAGTATTACCACAGTACACCTGCAAAGGCTTTCACGCAGTATTGCAGTAAAAGGATTAATATCATACAGGATAAACTGGAAGCCAGACAATACTGGGGAAAGAAACCAGGCTGTAAAAATTAATAGTATTTCTGCCTCTTCCAGTTTTCTGCCAGGACCACTGGCATTTTGTATGTCTTTCATTCCTACTACTAGGGGTTACAGGCATCACAGAAGAGCCACAAAAAAGCATACAGCTGAGTAGCACTGATGCGTCCCCATTAGAGTCCAAATTCTGCATGATGACTTCTCTGAAAAGCTAAGAGTGCAGATCTTAAGATTTGTGTCTTTTGATTGTCTGTTATATGTGTAAGAGGCTATGGAAGCAAGACTGTCACCATCTAAGAAATGTACAGCAACTTTCAGCATATGCACACACACACACAGATTCCTGGATGGCTCTAAATTTCCTGTCAATTGGGTACTCTCAGAGAAGACAGACATTGCTGCTCCTTGTCCTATGCCTTTAATCTTCTGTTTTACTCATTCTGCTCTTTAATCATCAGACGACTCATGACAGTAATTGTGGATGTCCCTGGATAGCTCAGTAATAAATGTATCCTGAACAAACATGCCTGTCAGACTCTATTTAGCCTAGAGCATCAAGTTTATGACCTCATGAAAGAGAATCTTTCTTAAGTTCTCTAAACAACTCTCAAAGTTAATCTCTACTTGCTATAAACATTAACTATTTTTTTTGCTATTTTCCTCACAAATTCAGGATAGCACCCTGAAAATTACAGAGAGGCCAAACTCACTAGGTTTATGTAGGACTTTGAACTCCAGACAACACCTCAGCGTTCAGCTCTTAATGTCTAAACCATTGCATTCTACCTGTTCAAATCCACTTTTGGGCAGAGAAACAGCAGCAGAGCAATATTGCAGGATGTTGTTAACAAAACTATACTTTCCCCCTAAAGATTGCTGTGGTGGCATGGAAGACAAGATCTCTTTCTTTATTCAGCTTTGAGCATAGTACATTTGCTGTGAAAGTTTCCTGGAGTAAAGTGGAGTGGGAGTGGGGTTTCTGCAGTTGTTAATAATTTGTGCTTCTGGTCTAGTAACCCAAACTATATTTAGCTCCCCATCAAAACCAAAACCTGAAAATTAAATGGACTGGAATAGAAAGGTGGTCTCTGTGTCACTCTCTGGATTCTGTTTCACAAGATGCAATCTTTCTCGATTTCCAAAACCAATTTTCTCCCATCATCTTATGAAAGTAGAGGTCATCTTGTGAAATGTGATATCTTACCAGTTTTTATAAAGGAATGTGCCCTTCTCCATGAAAGGAGGGTTCATTAAATCATGCAGCTGATCAGATTGCTGAAGCCTTGATTGGCGGACAGCCAGAGTGAAGAAATCCATAGGGAAGAGGTGCAAGGCACCATCCAAATAAGCTGGACCTGGCCTAGGGTATTTCAATCACACTGTTATCGAGAGGAAAGGAAAATCTCAAAGAAGAGAAATATGGGAGCTTTACTGACTTTTAGAGTCAATAGAATATGGGAAATAATTAGCCAGCCACATCTGAATTCTAGAGTTTAACATTTATTTCCAGGCACCACTTTACCACCACTTACCACTTTAATCAGAGTTCAAAAATAATTCATGATCCACTTCTGCCCTTGTTGCATGTTTTCTCTCCACAGTGTCCTTACAGAAGTTGTCACACTGCTGTTTGTAGCCAGTACCAAAAGACAGCTGCTTCTGGAGTAGGTCACTGCAATGATGCATAACATTTGCTGCAGGACAGAAAACCCAGTAAATTCTGAGAGCAGACTCATGATCTGAGATAAGCTTCTGGCAAAACAATGCCATACTAACAGATGAGACAAAAAACTATGTGTGTGCTAGCTGAAACATGAAGAACTGAGCAGGAACAAGTGCAATTAAGAAGGTATACTTTATGTTCAATTTGGACATCAGGTATTTTTAAAGTGTTGTCTTGAGTTACAGGGTTCATTATTACCCAAACTCCACGTGGAAAGAAAATGCACCGCATTTAGACAATACCCATTTTATTTTGAAAGCTGGTCAAACTCTTCTGACAGTCATGCTTTAAAGGATCACAGGGCTCAGGGTTCTGCAAATGTAGACAGCACTTTACAAAGGCACTTTACTTCACTGGGCACAGGCAAGCTAAGTTGGTGCAGTGCAAGCACAAACTACTTCAGATGCAGCAAACTCACCAGAAGGGCTATAAACTTGCCTATCTTGCTAGGACTTTCTGATGAATCTTGCATTCCAGATCTTATAACAAGAAATGGCTGGATTAGTTTATGCCTTCCTTATCATCAAAGCTCACACTCACTTCATGTCTTATGGGAACGATGTGGTTGCAGAATTGCAGCTAACATATTTCCGGTGGTAAAAATCTTAACTATAGGGTGACAAAAACTTATTTTTGTATTTTATCTCAAAGTTGGTAAGAGGGATCTGAAAGACCAGGTGGTAAGGACCACATCTGATAAAACAGTGCAGGCAGAGCCTTTGGTTTTGTTTCAAGAAGTCAGCACTTCTGTCAGCCTGACATTAAGTTAGATGGATATACACTTGGATGGTCCTTCTACACAAAGCAGCACCAAAATGCAGAACCACAGCTGGTAGCTGAAAGAGTAGTCAGGCCCAATTCTGAAGGAAAGAGCCTAGTTGTTTTGGATTTGTACAATGTAGACAACCTGCATTCAGGAAAGGATAAAGAGAGCATAAGAAATTGTTCCACTACTCGTCACAGCTGCACAAGGAGATATGTTGGAGACTTCCTTTATTTCAGCTGAGAAAAGAGGAGCTGACAGAGCATCCTAGATTCAGACATTTGCTCCTGTGGCTGGAGAGTTTCACAAAGTTCAGAGGAACCTTGCTTCTGCCTTTTGATCTGAGTCAAACCTTTTGATCTGAACAAATTCCCCTCTGGCCAGACTGGCCTGCCTACTTTTCTCTTCTAGAGTGTTGTTAGAAACAGCCCCAGGCTAGGTGGGCTTGCAGGTCCCTTTCAGCCTATGCTGACAGGATTAGAGGACGCAATAGCTCTTTTACATAACTGGTCTGGGGTACATGCTTTACTGGTGTGTTTGTAGATAAAGAAGTCCTTTGCATCTCAGCCACATTAAATATTTCATAAGGAAAAGTCTTTCCTGGGTGATTGCCTCTGTGTCCAGTGATTCCTAGACAACAACACCTTAAACCAACCTCAAAAGAGAGTAGCAAAAGCCTCAACTGGTGGTGATTCCATGTCAGAGAAATGTCTACTGCTGCAAAGCAGTAGTAAGGGTGAGTCCTGGCTGAAGGTGTGCTCTGGTCCTAAGGCTCTAACCTCAAAACTAAGTTTTGTAGGGAAGATATTTCATAAGCCTGTCATGCTTTGGGTTTTTGCCATTGATAGAAAACACTTCCCTTTGATTTCTGGGCAAAAATGGATGTGAAAGTCCTCTGAAAATCAAACCTCTCATTCTGAGATGTAAAATCTGAAAATACATACGGATTTATCAACTAACATCTATAATCAGCTAATGCTTTATTTTATATCCATCCTGTTTTTAAATAAGAAACTGAAGTACCTAAAAACATAAGACTCAGCCTCAGATATCCAGCCATAGTAGGACTGAAAAATAACACTACCAAAATTGACAAAGGTTTTCTTCTCATGTTGCTGCAGGGTTCCAAACTGTGTCAAGGAGGGAATTAATAATTTACCTTTTGGCAAAGAGAGCACTGAGCGATATTGTCCACTCACTCTTGTGTTCTTAGGTGCTCCCAGGAACAGAGGTATCAGTCAATGGCAACAGGGTGACCAGACAGAGTCAAAGAGTCTGAATTTGCAGAGGGAAGAGCACACTGGGGCTCCTTCAAATGAGTATTTATGATTTCTTGATCATTCCCTATGAGCTTCTAAGTGCTAATTCTTCCCTATGGTCCCTTTCAACCAAGCAAGTTGAGAACGGTAAATACAGTGCATGAGTAGATGATGCTTCACCCTAGGGTGAGGCCATGTCCCTTGCTCACCAGCTCCTGTCTGGGTAGTTTTTCAACTCTTTGGAGAATATTGATATTGATTCTGGAAAACAAGAATTAATCTAAAGAGACAGACATACACACACAAATAAAGTGCATTTGAGTTTAAAGAAAAAGTTAGCATCATGCCATTGAACTATTGACAAGTCTGTCACAAATATCATCTTGTCTCAGTGTAAATAAACAAGCTTAGTGGTGTTATTTTAGAATAA